AGCTTGGCTCTTTGAGTAGTGGGTCACAACTGAGAGAGGATAGCCACCCATAGCATCTTTATTCCGAATACTGATCAAATCTCTAACTCTTGTTGGACTTGTCAGTTTTATCTGACCATGGAGTGTTACCTTAGCCAGGAGATTCACAAGGCAGCCATGTGGACAGAAAGCAGGATTACGATCCTAGACTTGGCAAGCCTGTGACTGCAGACTTTCAGGGAAAGAGGAGCAAATCCGTTAGCTGTTTCTCTAGAGATCTGCTTGATATCTGTCTGAATGTAGAACAATTAGTACAATAATCTGAAGACTTAATCTTTGCATAACCTGAACCTCTTAGGGAAGAAAAAAATTGGTTAAAACCATCCTATCTCTAGGACTTGTTAAAACTGTTTGAAAAATGAACAAACAGTATGTTTGTGAGCTGACACCTCAAGTGTTATTTGCTGTTGCCTCATGAGAGCACAGACTTTGTTTAATGGTTATATATAATTGACTGATGGTAGTGATGGAAATGCATGCTCATGATTCCCAGGCTTCATGAATTTACCATAGGTTTGCATTCACTATTCATGATTTGTCCTTTATTGACTTTGGGAAAAAAGTACAAAAGTCATAGAAAAAGAAAGCCTTTGGGGCTGACCTCACAGTAGTGATAATTATGGGAAACAAATAACAAGTGAGATAATTATTTGACCACAGGTAAATGGGGTAGGGGAAAGGACGAGTTTTTGAATGATTCACAAATCTGGAGGGAAAAGAGGTATGGATTTTTTTTAGTTTGATTTATCCACTTTAATCAGATTTACTGACTGTGCATGCTGATGAGGTGTTGTAACTGGTTTTTTGAGCTCAGAACATGCATTTCTTATGATTAGGAATAGCCATTAGAAATTTTTTTCCTGAAAAATAAGCCTTCTTATCTTTCCACTCCTTACCGGTGCAGTGATTTATACGATTTTCTAGCTAAATACATAGGAAGTTCAGATAATGATAGAGCAGGTGTGCCTTTGGAGGACTAAATTATGGGCATCAATAAACAATTATGGGGTAGCATCTGAATGACTGAAATAATGTTAGCAGCTTTAACAGTTACAGAAGATAATTATTCTTTTGCTCCATGTATAGATCTTTTGTTGTCCGAGATGGGCTTACAGATTCAATGGTTATGTGTTTTAAAATTTAGAATACGGCTGTTCTTGCATTTACACTGATACTGCCTTAGAATCTCTCTAAGTTCTAGCCTTTGCAGGATCATTTACTATTGGAAACCCATAGTGTGACAATAGCAAATAAAGATGAACTTCGTGACAGAAGGTGGAATGCTGCACATTGATTTTTTTACCAATACCTGTATGCTGCTATCTTGACTTAAACTGGAAACGAAGTTCAATTCTGATTCTGAACTGTCCCATCTCCTCCCATGATTAATATTAATTATCTCTTAATTCAGTGTTTATGTGTAAAGTAAAAGAAGCAGCCACATTGCTGGACGTATAAGCTTGTTGAGAACTGAACTATTCAGATTGTCAGTACTCAAAAGTCTAAGGTTTCAGAAGTGGGTGGCACAGAGTGAGGCCTTTCTACAGCAGGGTACATTTGGCTTTTACACTTGTGGCTACCTGATCACATTATCTGAGGACAGGGGCAAGCTTTAGGGCAGGCTGTTAAAGGCAGCGAGTGTAAGCAATCACTTTGAATGTCAACTGCCAATGACCATGAGAGAGGAAATCTGGAAACAAGTACCTTGAGAGAGGCAGTAGTAAGATGTCAAGATAATTAAGAAATACAGATTAAATTGCCTGACCAGGATGGTGTTGATAGAAATCCTGACATATTCATGCAGGGTCATACAGGAAAAAAAATCATATTTTTCTTAGTAGGTCTGGATGAAAAATAATCTGCAGTGTGCAGTACTACACAATTTTCAATGCTAATGAAGAAAAGAATCTGAAACTGGTGATTGAATCCTGTACTTTGGCCACAGGAGAAATGAACTCCCTGAACTTTTTTCTTTTTGCAACCTCTAGAGTATCCTTCTGTCATCGAGAATATGAGAACAGATTCTTCAAAGTATAAGTCTGGGTGTGCAATGCTCCCTGTATATGAACTAAAATAGACTCACTGATAGAGGTGATTTAGTAAACTGTTGATAGGCTTTGCTTTCTTGAGCTTGTTCTTAACAAAATAGACCAAAATCAAGAAAAAGCACAAAAGTAGCAGGAAGTGAGGATGCTGTCTTTGCAAAGTATACGTAATTCTACACATTTTTCCTCGGGTTCAAAAATGAGAGCCTGCAGAGATGGCAGTCAAATCACCAGACTAGACCTTAAAATTATGCTTATTCCCCGTAACACTTGTCCACACTTCCTCTGTACAACGTGGAAATTCCACCTACAGTACTATTTCAAGGTGCTTCTTTGATGTGTAAAGACCACTGGGGCACTTGAACTTTTTTCATGAAATAAATCAGGACAAAACTTGTCAAACTTCAACTGGGAAAGCCTAATTGCTCAGTTGCTTTCTTTCGTTTCTGAAAGGCTGATGTCCAGCATATGTTGACTAATGAAGTGTGTTAACTTTTGTTGTCCTTTTGGCAGAGCCTTTTCCTGACCTTAAATAAAAGTGAAAACAGTGGGGTTGCAACAAATTAACCTACTTAATTTAATTTACCTTTTAATATTAACCAGCTTCGGAGAGAGAGGTTTTATTCAGGACTGTTATGTGAACTGTTTCTAATTTTTTCAACAGTAACTTACTAAATTAATTATGTGATGGGGGGGAAAAATTGCTGTCTTCAAAGTGTCACTTTCCCTCCAAAACCCTCTGCCTTGAATAGAGGCGTGCCCTTTAAAATATGAATATATATTTGCAGCTACTTCAGTTTAGTTTTCTTTGTTCCTGATTCTGGTCACCTCCATATGAAATGACTGAATACAGTATGATTGGATGGTTTGAATCTGGCTTCTTGCTAATATGTTTGGTGAGGTCTTTGTTATGATAGAGAACATACTTAGAGTGTCAGGATCTCACCAAACAAGAATGTATTTATAGCCACCAGAGATGAAAGCAGTGGAAATAGCTTGTTATATAAGCCCATCAATCTACCTTTGATTTTATATGTTGGCAGAAGTCTTGTTATGGGATATGTTCAAAGGGAAGTCTGGGCCCTGGGGTCTCGGTTATGGGAGTGTTTCCACATAATGTAGAGTCCAGACAGCTTTTGGAGCACTCACTGGGCCAGCTAGTGCCTTTTGCTAGTGACAATGTCTGCAGACATCAAGTTAAGTCGAAGCCTGATAGGTGTAATCAACAAGGATGCTAATGAGAACAGGGCTATTCTTCTAATTAATGAACATACTCCTGTTAAAGCAAGAATGAATAGGGAGGACTTGCTCTAGTATGGGTGACGCCTGTTTTACTGACATCAGTCACGTTAATTTGGAGTAGCTTATGAAGCTGGCTACACTGTAGAGAGATACAAAGGTGAGAAAGGTAGAAAGGCTCTGTGTGGGGAAAAAAAAAAAAAGTAAATACTGCTGAAACACGTACAGGCTTTCTAGGCTAATTAGACATTTCATTTTAGCTGTAGTCGCAATGGATCAGTCATGTCATGTCATCAGTAACACCTTCCAGTGGTCTTGCTAACTATTCTAACACATAAGGCAATAGTTTGAGCAATAACAACATAAGTTAGGAGCATTCCTTTGTGTATTCCAGACATTTATAGCAGCAGCAGCACCACCTGTTGCCTGGAGCTGTGATCTCTACTGTTTTGTGAAGGAAAGATCTGATTTTTTTTTTTAATGTATTTGCTTATAACAGCAATCTGAAGTATGGCTGAATTAGAGAGATTTGTAAATGAAGATCAAAAAAAAGAGTTGCTTGGTCCAGATGATGACAGTATGAAGCCTTAAGAATAAAACCACAGCCTGTGAGAGACTGCAATTGTATTTTTAAATTGAAATATGTCAGATACAAGAATATAGAAAATTCTAAGATAGAACATCCGATCTGATGAGTAAACAATGTAGCTCTATAAATGTCTTCAAGTGGGACTGTTGCCAAGTTTCACCCACTACCATATTACATGACGAGGTTCATATGTGGGACAGAGTGGTGCAATAGGAATTTTCTTATAGCACATTCTGTCTTTAATGTGCCCAGGAGTATACCCCAGGGAAGGTTATCTGACAAGAGATTCCCAAGGCTGTATAATGTGCTCAGCCTATTATTGATGCTATTGCAGGAGCAGATTTGTCAGTTGATCTGTAAGTCATTTTCTGACCTTCTCTATGTGTTACCTTGACTGAGGATCTTCTGTATTTTCTTTAGCTAACACAGGAATTTATCTGGAGTTTATTCACATGACAGTGACAACAAATGATTGTGGCTAATTGTTTTAAACATGTTTATATATTAAAACTAGGTTTGTGTTGGTGGCAGAAACAAAAACAGCAGAGGGAAAGGAAGTCACAGAAGAAAGATTTGTTGACAGACTAAAGAAAGAGGAAAGAAAAGGTCATCGTGAGAAAAAGGTGTTCCTGATCTGAATTCAGTAAGACTGCATAACTACATGGCTATGACACAGGAAAGAAATATGGTTTACATACCAGTACCTGTAGGGCTGAGAACTATTTTAGCCCCCTTCATAATTCTGTGTCTGAAAGCAAAAAACAAAGAACTTCAAAGCAATTTTGTTCTCAGAGCCCACGATTCAGGAGTTCTGAACATCAGCTTGTTCTCTCTTCCCTCAGGTTGTTTTCCTTGGCAGTTGCTCAGCTTTTCCATTAAGATATGTGCATTATTGCACAGGCTGTCGATAAGTTGTTGCATACATGGTTAGCGTTGCCAGCTAGTGCTTGAACCTGCTGTCAATTTCCTGGTAGGTAGGATTTAATTCTCCAAAGGAGGGAAAAATCTGTGTTTTATAAATACATCTTTTATTACTCAGCCTGCAATAACTTAAGCCAAAAAGATTTTTTTTCTTCCTCTTTCTTCTGTCTTTCCCAGCTTCTTGACTTTCTTCACTCTTGGTAGGTGCTTTTCTCAGTATAGCTGAGCTGCCCTCTCTTGAATGATTCAGATAATCCTTCACCAACACTTGTCTTTATAGTTATATGGCAGCCCAGATTCTTTTATTGGATCAGAAACATCAAGATTCTCCAAGCATAAAGGGAGACACACGGAACTTCTCCTTTTGAGAAAAGAAAGAAAAGCTCTCCTTTAACATACATAAGGAAAGGGCAGAGTCATAGAGGCAAACCATGAGCAATGCATTTTAGAGCCCCTAACTTGACCTCATACATGGGGCTAATGCCCTGTTGCAAAACCTCTCATGGTTCATACTCCAAAAGCTGGTTATTTCCTTCTGCTGTAGAAATATGGCATTACTGGCCTAGAAGAAAAAAGCAAAATGCCATCCAAGACATGAGCTGAGCCACAACCAACTCCAATGGATGTGACTCTAAAGTAGTATGCCAGACTAGTTGGAAATCTTGTAACTAAGAACACTCCCAAACTCATAATTTCTAATTCCCTTTTGAAGAGCAGACTGTTTATTTAAAAAAAAAAAAAAAAAAAGTCACTCTCCAAGTAAGCCTTTAAGGAAAACTAAACAGAGCAATCTGGGCAAACATCACTCTCTAATCAGCAATCAAGACTCCCTGTGAAGCTCTAGAGAGTCTGATTAAAAGCAGATGTGGTTAATCTCAATGAACAGAAAAATATAACTGCCAGGAGAAAAAGTTTCATGAAGAGCTCTTGAATCTGTAGTAGACCATCATACAGGGTTAATAGAATTGGTCAGGCAGTGTGCTATGGCTTTATGCTGTTTTTTATTAATCACAGGAATTGTATGTTGCACTGCAGGATGAACAGAAGGAATCCGTTGAAGTGCAACCCTCTCAAGCTGCATGGCTCTAAAATTGAAACAGTGCTCTGCAGTAACTTTGAGAGATTTAGGGAGCACTTATCTTCCAGATATCCATGAGGTTGCAAGCTACTCTTTATCAGAATGTATTGTTGGAAAAATGAGGAGCCAAGCAAAGACTCTGAAAACAAGTCATGGCAAAGAGGGGTACAGTTTTATTCTTTTTAACTGGTGATGCTTCTGCATTTCTGCCCAGTAAAGGACTGTGAGGGGAGTTTCACTTCAGACTGTTCTGGCAGGGAAATGACAGCAATGTTTCCAAAGGTAATTAAAATTTATCTTCAGCTACTGAAAAACAGAACACTCAGGGAATGCCTTAATTGGCTGCACTGAGGAACAGAACGTTTGGCGTTTACAAAAGAAAAGAGCAACGGCCAACGTCAGAAATGGAAGGTTCAAAAGGCATCAGTGGGAAATATTGCACCCAGTTAGAAACTTTCTTCAGCAGCTTAATATCATAATTTTCAGCTGCCTTAGGACTCTCAAGTCCTAACAAAGCTTTATAGAATTGAAAGTAGTGTAGAAATGTCTCCTTAATAGGTTGTACATAGATGCTCTACAAGAAAATAGCGTTTCTTTAGGTACACAGCAGCGATGTTTCAGAAGAAACTGTGGATCATAAGTAGTCTATGGGCAAAAGAACACTAATCTTGCATTTGGCTGATCTGTTTATCAGTTCTCTTCATATCAAAAGATAATAGAAGCATGTCATTATTCATACAATGTTCCTTTAAGGCTGTTATTTCTGATAGAATCATTTTTGTCTTGAATATATTTTCATAGCAGCTTTGGTCCCTTAGATGTCTTTGTCCAAATTGCATCACTATAAAGACATAATGCCAGGACATGGTATATTTAAGAATTTTTTCCTCAAGAGATTTCTTTCATTGTAAGAAGTAGATCTTTCTAAACCTTACTTTTTCTCAGAAAATAGTTATTTTGGATGAAATTTTAAGCTAAAACTGGGCCAAACTTGTCCAAAAATTGCTTTGGTCTTTGTAAAAGGAAGGGAAAGGCTTCAAATTTTTAATGGCTTTGTATTTAAACACTTAAGTTTTAGTCACATCCTTTTTTGGAATACAACAGCTAAATAAATATTTTACAATTTCCAGTATAAACCTTCTTTTGAGGTTTGCATTTTTCAGGTGGAACTTTTAAATCAGACCCTTGAGTTTATTTTCTTTCAAAAATGACTCCGTTTTTCTTAGCCTATTCAGCCGGGAGCTGATCCAATAAAAATAAACTTTATTTTACAAAACTTCTTCTGATGCAAAGTTTTCTTAATCGCCTCCACGTGATATAAAGCCTCACAGCTATGCAAAATTGAGAGTAATTCTATATATTCAAATATGCATTTAAATCCCTGATAAAAGACATTTGTTTTTCAGTGTAAAACAAACTTCAGGAAATTTTAAAGAAAAGGAAATACACTCAGTAATGAACTGCTTCATACAACATAAACTCCCAATTTATAAATAATTGTGGACCTTTTTTATTGGATTAGGTATGTAGCTATTGACCTTGGGTGTTTTTATCAAAGGCAATGTGGATTCAAAAAGTTCATATAAAGGTGCCCTATTATTTAATAAGGAGTCTTTTGATACACCATGTACAAACAGTAACAAAGGAAACTTCCTTGAAGCAGGAAAGCTGCTGTTCCTTGTAAATATACAGTGATCCAGAACACGTCTGAGCTGAAGCAAAGTAAACATTTTTATCCTAAACAAAACAATGAGGAGAATTTAGAGAAGACACTGGAAATGAGCACACGTTAAACCTATAAATGATTAAGTGTTAGTAATTGAACATCAATTCTAGGTTTCATAATTTAGGCATGTAATTTACTCACTGCTTCTTGATAAAGTACTTCTAATATAAGCACTTGAACTTCCCCATTGCGTCAGCAGCGGTAGGTGATCTTGAAGACCTCCCAGAGTGATGCTTTCTATTGAAATGACGTCTCCAGACATGCTTTTAGATTGATAGTTTCAACTGGTATCTCTACTAGGCAGAGTGATTTTTGTACCGTTGATATTCTCTGAAGCTACAACCACAAGATAGCCACAACTCAGATTTAGCATTCAGGGCTTCTGTAACTTGTCCTAGAGGGCTGTCCCTGGTTCGCACCAGCTGGCAAAGATTTCCTGTAGCATTTGTTGCAGCAGCAGAAGTAGTAGTTTGTTGGCTGATGTTTTTCTGCTGTGCAACACGGTTCATTCACTCTAACACAGACACGTACACCTCCCAACTGTGTTTACACAGCAGTTAATTTCTACTTGTGGCTGCTGCTATTTATAAGGAGGACAACCAAGTAATTATTTCTAACAATTCTCTAAAAATAAATGTGGTGCCCTTACTGGGGTGGTTAAAATTCTAAATAGTACGTTACATGATCATTTATAATGCAACAGCATTAATGAACTGTGCCAACATAGTCTTAGTAGTTTTGGATCATCCATTGCTCAGTTTCTCTTTCAGCTTTATGGAAAAAATAGCAATAAATAATTTTACATTTAAATATTTTTTCTTGAACTAACCAAAAAGATTAGCATCCTTCCTCGAAATCATCAGCTTAGAATAGGAAATTTGAACCATCACAAGAATGAGACTGCCTTCTGATGTAGAATTTATGCATAGTCCAAAATAAATACAAGTATTACAGCAGAGGTAAGATGAAAAGATCTCATATTAAATAATAAAGATCTCATATCTGCATCATAACCAGAGCTACAAAGTAGAATTTCATAAATACTTAGTATAAATCCTCATTCTTGGAAAAAAAATTGGCATGAGTTTTTTAGTGGCATGAATTTAAAAAAATTGCTTTTATAAGGCTTCTCTGAAAGATAGTGAGCTCAAAAGCAGTGTTCCTAATAGCAGTCTTTGGGCACTGACTTTGTATGGATCTGTAGGCTAAACTGTCCTCCCCTGCTCAGCAGGGCCACTTACTTCTGTAGCGAGGTTCTCCATTCTGGTTCCCTAATGAGGTCTGTTACACAATTTTCAGCATGTTTGGTGTGGGCTTGCTTTTAGCTAGAGCTAAAGCAATTGAATCAAATGCTCTGAGCTCTGCTTAAAAGGGACGTTGGCTGAGAGAAATGAAAGGCTAAAAGATATTGATGAACAGTTTTGGATGACACTGCGTTTAATAAAAAATGAGTCACGCCTTGGCAGCTTTCAGGAATACCCCTACAAATAATTAAGAAATTAAACTTACTGGAAGGGAATATGATGCGTGGTCATTTTTATTTTTCTTCTTTAAAATTTGAGTTTATTTGAACCAACAATATTCAGAAATAAAACAAACAAACAAAAAAAAAACAACCACAAAAGTAAGCAAAGCATGAGAACGGAACAAACTCATGGTGAAGCTCTCAAGGAGCTTCACAGCTGTCTGGGTGATGATCTTTGTATTGTTTGGTGTTGGCTGAATTGGCTGTGTTGACTAGGACTCGTTTGTTCTGTATGGATATGTGTATGTCCAGGTTCACTCAGGCTACAAAAATGATTACTCTATGAGGAAAAGCTTATTTTAAGAAGATCTTAAAATAGTCTTATACTTTTCCTTCTTTCACTTAGTATTATTTTGAATGGAGCAGTAGAATATGAGGTCCACAGACTGCGGCTAAGCTTGATAAATAACTTCAGTAAGAAACAAATAAAAATGTTGCAAAGATTTTGATTCTCAGCATTGACTTCTATAATTTTTTTTTTTAACTGAATTTTACTTTTCAGAACAACACACACATTTTTGAGAAGTTAGAGCTGAAGTGCACCAAAATTAAAAGGCTAAATCAAAGTTTTGAAAACCATCATTGTTGTACTATAAAGCTCTCAGGTTGGCAAAGGAGAGGTTTTTCTTTCTCGCACACACTATTTGGCTTAGCTTAACTGTAGCCAACTATTGCTGCCCAATTTTTTTTCATTTGAATGCCAAAACAAACTGGCAACCGATCTGCTGTTTTGCACTTCAGTTTAATCCAGATGCATGGGGTGAAGGTGTTTTTAGTTTTCTATAGGTGTTAACAATTGGTAATAAATCACATTAGCCCCCTTCATGCTGAGTCTGTTTTGCCCATTATGGTAACTGTGGAGTGATTTCCCTTCCCTCACCTCAACTTGCAAAGTTTTTTTTATCTTTTTTTTTTTTTCCCCCCCTTGCTCTGTTGAGGAGTGAAAGTGAGAAAGCAGTGTGATGGTGCAGAGCTGCCCATTAGTATGAAACCACCAGAAAAAAAAAGTGAGGAGATGATAAGAATTAGCTGTGTCTAATCTGTATGAAACTTCAGCAAAGTAATGAGATTCCACTGCCTGTTGGTTTATAGTTGAAGACTATAAAAGATAAGTAAACATAGACATAAAGCATATGTTATTGATACTGGGTCTGTGGTGATAACAAAGCAGATGAAAAAGGAGGTCAGCTCAGAAATACCTTATTTATATCCTAACTGTTTGCAATATATAGCTTGGTGAAATTCAGCTCATCTCCATCTGCTTATCTTGGAAGCAGAAGTACCAGAAATATCAATATGTATGAGACATACAAATCATAATTACTGGTATACATCTGGCAATCCTAAAAATAGAAACATAAAGTGCATAAAAATAATTGTAAGCTAATACAAATGGTTATAGACAACATTGTTTAATGTAATAGTAAAACAGTTTAAGCAGCAGCAGACAAGGAGGAGCAGTTCACCTTTTGTAATTGATGGAAAAAATACAAAATTACCTGCAAATATCGGTAGTTTATGAGACAGCCTTCAGAGCCCCCTTCATTTCTCCTGGTATCACAGCTTTTTCGTAGTAATTTCTGATTCCATTAAACATTGCTTTTTTATTTTTTCTTTGTTTTTCCTGTGCTATCATGTCAGAAAGTCAAGGCAGTGGCAGATAATGGTTTGAACAGGGTTTTGGCTACAGGTATAAAGATGACTTCTGGAATGAAGAACAAGATTTCAAAGCACTGAGAATGCACAAAGAAAACTTTTATATCTTTTTACACCTCTCTTTACACATATGCAGAGAAATTTCATAGAAAGTAAATCCATCATTCCTCACGAGCCACTCCAGAATGATACTAATTCAGTTGAACGAGGCAGAAAAGTCCAGGGAGTTGACTGAGCTAAGGTAGCTGTATGGAAATTTGAGCATGCAATACAGTAGCATAAAGAACTGCAAAGAGTAATTACTGGAAGGGAAACTCAATTAGCTGGAACAAACAACTGATTGTGCAATTAAGAAAACTCTGTAAATCATTACAAACCTCTTGTCATACAGCTTTTCTCCACAGTCCTGCTGTAGTGGCCCTGCTCTGTCAGCTGAAGAGTTAGGGCTAAGCTGAAATTCTGTTTTCATTGCTGTATTAAGAACCACTAATGAAGACGGCTTGCATACTTTTCCTAATTATCTCGAACAACAGTGCACTTCTCTATCTCTCCATTTTTGGTGCATGAGAAAGTGAAGAAAGTCACACAAAATCATGCATCTGTCCATGCACCACATTCAAGTTCACAGTTGTGTTTGTACTTTCGCATGAAAGTCCAGTTATGTCAGGGAAGACAGGAAGCTCTTTCCTGTTAGATCATTAACCCAGAATGTGGCAAATGTTTCTATTTTAAATTTAATATTGATTCAGGTATCAGTTGGGTGGAAAACCAAACATCATTGATCATAAGGTTTGTTTTATTTATAAGAGATTGAAAGGGAAATAGCAAAGAATATTTTTTCAATTATTGAAAGAGAATAAATGAAGAAAAAAAGAGATAAGTGAAACAAAGGAAAATAGTACAATCTCTCCTTCTTACACATTCTATGCTGGTAAGAATATCTGGAGATCCAATTCCTTTACTTTAATGAGCTTGCTTGCAATTGTTTTGCTAAATCTGTGATGAAACTTCTGTGTTGGGCTGCTCCTCTGGCTGAGAGTATTGGTTTTGTTTAGTATCTAAAATTTCAGCAGAACTGATTACACTGTTTATGAGACTTTGGTGAGAGAGGGAAATAAAATGTTAGTGCTGCATTTTGTCATGGCTATTTCAAGGACCTGAAGAATGTTCATTTAAAATAAAATCCTATCATTGTTCCTCTGTGAATTTCCTAAAGGTTTTTTTTTTGTTTGTTTACTTGGTTGCTTCTTTTTTCCCTCCAGTCTTCAAGAGAACTTTGTTTGTGTGACTCTTTGCTTTGTTTTGGCTTGTTTCTGCTTCCAACCTCTTTATATCAAGAGACCTTTCTTCCAAAGACAGTACCTGCTTACTCAGAAGCAGCATGGTAGTTGGGACATCACCATCACCATCAGGCCTAACCTGGAGTACTGTATCCAGTTCTAGGCTCCCCAGTACAAAAAAGACAGGGAGCTCCTGGAAAGAATCCAGCAGAGGGCCATAAGGATCATAAAGGGTCTGGAGAATCTCCCCTATGAAGAAAGGCTGAGCGAACTGAGTCTGTTCAGACTGGAGAAAAGAAGACTCAGAGGGGATCTGATTAATGTTTTTCAGTATCTTAAGAGTGGGAGTCAAAAAGATTTGGCCAGCCTCTTTTCAGCAGTCTGTGGGGATAGGACAAGGGGAAATGGCCATGAAATGGAGCATAGGAATTTCCACAGCAATATGCAAAGGAACTTCTTCACAGTGACAGAGCACTGGAATAGGCTGCTCAGGGAGGTTGTGAATTCTCCTTCTCTGGAGATATTCAAGACCTGCCTGGACACCTACCTGTGCAGCCTGCTGTAGGAGGCTTGCTTTGCAGAGGGGCTGGACTCAATGATTTTGAGAGGTCCTTTCCAATTCAGTGATTCAGAGGAGCCCTTTCCCTCAGTTTCTTTTCTGCCATACGGAGATGAATAAATAACTTTGTTCTTAAAGAGCAGCTGCTGGTTTGTCCTCCAGCACTGATTGGTACTAGAGCGAAATGTTATGCTGAATCTACTGAAGAAATGCCATCTATTTACTCACTGAATAGTAGAGACAGTTGTTTCTCACGCTGCCTCTTGCTAGAAGCATTTTAAACCATGCTGGCAAAAGTAATCTCTAGGAAATATTTACTTTTTGTGACCCATCAGTCTTGGGTTTAAAGAAACTGCTGAGGCTGAAGGCTAGTGACAATTCTGGTGATGGTATTTATGGTAGAAACAACTGGCTGGTTGCTCTGAGCTGAATGTAGACCCACCAAGTGGCTACTGTACAAATGGCTTGTATTTCAGAGGCTGCAGGAACGTTTATCTTCATTAAGCCACAGTTGCTGAAACTAACAATTAATGACAACTAGTCAGGAAATGGCCGTGCAGGAAAGGGAGACTGAAGGAGTAAACAGGTTTTGTCCATTCTGTACAAAAAGTATTTTTCATAATTTCTAATCAATACTGCAACCTACCATGGGAAAATGCTGTAGAAGAAGGGTTGGATTTGCTCATTCCCAGAGGTTCCTTCCAACCCCAACAATTGCATGATTCTGTGATCCAGTCCCAGTGCTAAAATTGCATGTTAGTTTTTCCTGGGAGCCTTGGGCTCACTGCCTAAGAAATGGCTGTTATTCTTCTTTACAATCCTTTTCTGAATGTAACTTGTTTCCAAGCAAACTAAAACATCTGGCATTCTCTTCTGCCCTGTTCTGCAAAGAGTGGCATATGAAATCCCTCTTCTCAGGGCTATAAAGAAGTTTTAACCTGAAAGTAAGAAGACTCTTGTATCAGCAAAATATTAAGGTTCTGGTCATTTTTCCAAAAGGACTGAGGAGTATGCTTTGCTCATTTAAAAGAGTTTTGACAAATTTATAATGAGCTTGTACAAGAAGGCAAAGTCAGGTCACAGAGGACAGGATTTGAGCCAAAAAATCTCTTCTGGTGCCGTCTTGAATGTGAGAAAGGCCATTTTCATAAGGCTTAGGAAGATGTGAATACTTTTTTTTTCAGTGTTTTTAAGATGAGCAGCACCTGGTACTTACTGAGAAAAAGTACAAGTCTGTAGCGGCAGAAGAAGCAGAAATAAAAATTATGAAGGAACAAAGAAGAGAGATTTGAGGTCATTCAGGGGCCTCCACTTTGTATGTTCAAGGTAACATGCACTGACTAATGATTCACAGGCCATCAGTGGTCTGCAAAACCATGCTAAATGGTTCACAACTGCTCGATGAAACTGTCAGCTTGCCATAGCTAAAATTTAGAGGTAAACATTGCACAGCAGACTATGAGAAATGCAGTAGGTTGTACTTCTAAAGGCCTGTAATTCAGTTAAACAACCTTCTGGATCTGGTAAGTTCCATTTTACAATTAGGATGAACATAAGGACACGTAAAGGACATACAGGACTGAATAGCAAAGTCAGACAAAGAACCAGCTTCTCCAGAGTCTGATAATGTATGGGAAGGCATGGCAGATATGGCTGCCACTTTCAGAAGTCTGGTTGTCTAGGTATCATGCATGGGCTATGCCGTAGATTGTTTCTTTCACCTACTCTTTGGAAGCAGTTACGAGGAGATATGGGATGTTCTGTGCAGGAAAGGAACCAAATTTATTTGGCAGACAAACTCAGATGTTTCCTGCACATTCATAGACTCATGGACAGGGAGGTACATGGTTCCTATCCCAGGAGGTGGTTACCTTGCAGTGTCAGAGCTAAGGTGATCATCTTCAGAAGTGCTCTTTCAGATATTCTGTCCCTTTGGAACATCCCATGCAGCTCTATTGTGGCCATCTTCATGCACAGCGCATACAAGTGATGGAGTTCACTTATGATATTTTATATCTGATGAAAAGAAACCAGAAATCCTATTCAAAACTATCCCCTACCATTCAAAAGAAATGATGCATGATTTTAAGCCAGCTGAACCTTCATGATGCAAAGCCAATAGAAGTACTTAGGGCACAGTTTGGTTTTATTATGGATGTGTTAACTACCAGTCATTCTGAAGATCTGATTAAATCCCCTGGGCATAATGATAGAGCTGATAACTGTTTGTTTGTTTGTTTGTTTTCTGTAAAATGATATATTAAAAAAATAAGATTCCCTGAAAAAAATTCAGCAGTTATACCCATTTCAGCCTGTTCCTGTTTTGCCAGTGAGCACCAAAGATCAGAATCTTATGTGAGTAAAATGCTCACATAATAAGAAGCAGGAAACCCACATGAATGCTCTCTGTTGTAGGAGGCTATGAAACAGATGGCTTGGTTATAGCATCATTTCCCTCTGCAATAAAGGTTTTGCTTTAATTCTGTAAGTACAGCTCATCTATGTCAGACAAGGAGATCCTAGAGGTTTTGTCAGTTTTGCGTGTCTGTTTGGGGCCAAACCCAAGAAGTTGTTTTCTTGCTATGGAAAATAAATTTGCTGCTGTACAGCAAAATGAGAAGACAAAAATAATACATTATAACCAAGGAAACAATGATTTTTCATGCAGGAACAGAAGCAAAGTGTAAAACTGGGTGTATGGGGAAGCAGGGCAGACAGAGCCCCCTCTTGTGGTAGAAAGTCCAATTCATGTTCCTCTGGCTATGCATGAGTCACTGTGTCCCAGTGACAATGTTCTGGGACATTGCTCTGTGCAGCTGGCCTTTAAATACTTAAATGTATTGGACTACAAGAAAGATGTCTGCTCTTTGCCAAGCAGCTGCTTATAAACAGCTTTTTAAATTGCAAGTCTAGACTGCACTAGCATAATTCAGAAAAGAACAAGAAGAATTGCGCGGTTAACTTTTCCCTTTCTCACATACACAAAAAGAAATTCTCTGGTCTGGGAATGCAGGGGCAGACCCAAGTTTAGAAAGGAATTGAAGTGAGTCTGAAATTTTTTGTTTGTTTGTGCAAACTTTGAGTTTGCTATGATTTGGACAGGACACTACCTGGCTGCTGGAAGATCTCCTACTCGAAAAGAACTCTTGAAAACAGAGTGATGAGCTGTCTTGCCCATGTATATTTCGAGCTGGCACACGAGGCTGTGGTGGTTGACTTCTGCTTTGCTGTGATCTGAGATGCAGCAAAACTGACTGGAAATGTTCACTTGCCACAGAGGCCTGCACTCAGTGGAGAGGAACACACCAAACACATCTGTGGGTTCCTGCTTATGTGTTCATGCATGTCTTCATGCTTTCAGTTTGTTTTTTTAATGGTGGGCTTGGCGTGAAAAAGTTGAATTGTAACTTATGGGTGACTTGGAAAATGGGATGCAAATCTGATGTAGAAAGAAAAAGTATAATTCTGCTACAACAAGATTCATACTCCTGAGAAAATTGTAGATACTTTATGAAGAAGTGTTCTGTGGTGAAAACAGTATTCATCATGCCCTGTACACGTCATCTGGATATGTATCAACCTTATTAGTAAATTTTCCTCATGAGATGCCTCTAAAGGATTTCAGGCTCTGCTATACTACACGTTACAATCAAAACTTGAGGGCAAGTGTCTGCCCTAAGGAACTTCAGGCTCAGTGTGTGAGCAAATTGAGCAAGAAGATGAAAATCATGAGCAGAAATAGGGAATTATTGGAGATATCTGAGCTGAAAGTACTG